TTCATTCAAATCCTGAGACAAACAAACTCACAACCAACTCCGACTGACTAGAATTAGACAGTCGAGTGGCTAGAGCTCCATCCATTGGACATTACCGAACACCTGGAACCGTACCGAAAGAACAAGAATCGAGCGCGAAGAAATCAAATTGGTTTACACTAGCTCGTGAAGAAGATATTGGAGATACTGGATATTGAAAAAGATGGGACAGTTGGACATCCTGTTTGGACCGTAAAATACCAGTGCACGTAGTATTTCTCGACTTCGCAAAAGCCTTTGACACAGTGCCCCACGCACACCTAATCGAAAAGGTTGTGGAAATGGGCTTCACTGACCCGCTCGTATCTTGGCTCAGAAACTACCTTGAGAATAGAAAGTTTCGCACCAAGGTAAACAGGGTGCACGCGAGTTGGAGAGTATCCACTTCAGGAGTTTCACAGGGGACCATCCTAGGCCCACTCCTCTTCCTGATATTCATTAACGACCTGCTAAGCTTAGTTAGCTCACCGGCACTGATCTACGCAGACGATGCGAAGATCTGGAGATCCATTAGAAGCGAAGAGGATTCGACTGAGCTTCAAAAGGACCTTACATCCATTGAGAAATGGGCAGTGAAAAACGGTTTGAAACTCAACCAACCGAAGTGCCACGTCATGCATTTCCTGCCTCATATGACGCAAACCACCTACTTTCTCAATGGAAGTCCGCTCCCTAATGTCTCCTCAGAGCGCGATCTTGGTTTAATAACCACAGAAAGCCTCCACACGAGTCCGAACTATGTAGGGGATGCAGCCAAGGCAAATGCGACTCTTCACTTTATGCGAAGACAGCTTGGTGCTATAACCCCGAAATTACTTTTAACCCTGTTTAAGACGTACGCGCGCCCACACTTGGAGGTTCACAACGTCATCGCACCCCGTCTGCTTAAAAGAGACATTAATCTCTTGGATCGAGTGCAGAGACGAGCAACCAAATGGGTGATAGGGCTGAAAAATAAACCGTACGACGATAGACTCCAGCTCTTGGGATTATTCCCACTGAGCTACAGGAGAATCAGAGGTGACCTGATTATGGCGTACACCATATTAAACACGCCAAACCATCCCAATGTGAGCATCTTACCGATGCAACACCACCACTCCCCTCGAGGCAATCCTCAAAAGATTTCACATCAAAGAGCAAACACTCAGGTTCGTGCACACTTTTTCCCATTGCGAGTCGTCGCAACTTGGAATGCTCTCCCAGCCGAGGTAGTTACAGCCCCCTCAGTGGACTGCTTTAAGAAGAGACTTGATAATCACGTACTCACATGCGGACTATCATCTCCCTCTTGGACAAGCTGTGCCTGATGCATATCTTGAGACCTGCTAGTTGTTACCATTGCCATCTCCTCAGATCACTTAATTAATTTAACTCGCCTATTCCTCTCCCTTGCTTACACTTCGGTCCTCTCTCACAATCTTCACTACCAATTAATAAACTAAATTCATCTATATATTACTCAGTTCTGAAATTTTACTCATATTATCATTTTAATTTACCCTTATTACTCTTATTACTCTGCACATTGCAACTAACTGATCTCCGGTTTGGTAAAGTGACGGCTGCTAGTATCCAGAAACCCTACTGCCCTGAAACAAACGTTTCATTCAAATCCTGAGACATACAAACTCACAACCCACTGCCAACTGACTAGAATTAGACAGTCGAGTGGCTAGACCTCCATCCATTGGACATTACCGAACACCTGGAACCGTACCGAAAGAACAAGAATCGAGCGCGAAGAAATCAAATTGGTTTACACTAGCTCGTGAAGAAGATATTGGAGATACTGGATATTGAAAAAGATGGGACAGTTGGACATCCTGTTTGGACCGTAAAATACCAGTGCACGTAGTATTTCTCGACTTCGCAAAAGCCTTTGACACAGTGCCCCACGCACACCTAATCGAAAAGGTTGTGGAAATGGGCTTCACTGACCCGCTCGTATCTTGGCTCAGAAACTACCTTGAGAATAGAAAGTTTCGCACCAAGGTAAACAGGGTGCACGCGAGTTGGAGAGTATCCACTTCAGGAGTTTCACAGGGGACCATCCTAGGCCCACTCCTCTTCCTGATATTCATTAACGACCTGCTAAGCTTAGTTAGCTCACCGGCACTGATCTACGCAGACGATGCGAAGATCTGGAGATCCATTAGAAACGAAGAGGATTCGACTGAGCTTCAAAAGGACCTTACATCCATTGAGAAATGGGCAGTGAAAAACGGTTTGAAACTCAACCAACCGAAGTGCCACGTCATGCATTTCCTGCCTCATATGACGCAAACCACCTACTTTCTCAATGGAAGTCCGCTCCCTAATGTCTCCTCAGAGCGCGATCTTGGTTTAATAACCACAGAAAGCCTCCACACGAGTCCGAACTATGTAGGGGATGCAGCCAAGGCAAATGCGACTCTTCACTTTATGCGAAGACAGCTTGGTGCTATAACCCCGAAATTATTTTTAACCCTGTTTAAGACGTACGCGCGCCCACACTTGGAGGTTCACAACGTCATCGCACCCCGTCTGCTTAAAAGAGACATTAATCTCTTGGATCGAGTGCAGAGACGAGCAACCAAATGGGTGATAGGGCTGAAAAATAAACCGTACGACGATAGACTCCAGCTCTTGGGATTATTCCCACTGAGCTACAGGAGAATCAGAGGTGACCTGATTATGGCGTACACCATATTAAACACGCCAAACCATCCCAATGTGAGCATCTTACCGATGCATCACCACCACTCCCCTCGAGGCAATCCTCAAAAGATTTCACATCAAAGAGCAAACACTCAGGTTCGTGCACACTTTTTCCCATTGCGAGTCGTCGCAACTTGGAATGCTCTCCCAGCCGAGGTAGTTACAGCCCCCTCAGTGGACTGCTTTAAGAAGAGACTTGATAATCACGTACTCACATGCGGACTATCATCTCCCTCTTGGACAAGCTGTGCCTGATGCATATCTTGAGACCTGCTAGTTGTTACCATTGCCATCTCCTCAGATCACTTAATTAATTTAACTCGCCTATTCCTCTCCCTTGCTTACACTTCGGTCCTCTCTCACAATCTTCACTACCAATTAATAAACTAAATTCATCTATATATTACTCAGTTCTGAAATTTTACTCATATTATCATTTTAATTTACCCTTATTACCCTTATTACTCTCCACATTGCAACTAACTGATCTCCGGTTTGGTAAAGTGACGGCTGCTAGTATCCAGAAACCCTACTGCCCTGAAACAAACGTTTCATTCAAATCCTGAGACATACAAACTCACAACCCACTGCCAACTGACTAGAATTAGACAGTCGAGTGGCTAGACCTCCATCCATTGGACATTACCGAACACCTGGAACCGTACCGAAAGAACAAGAATCGAGCGCGAAGAAATCAAATTGGTTTACACTAGCTCGTGAAAAAGATATTGGATATTGTATATTGGATATTGAATATTAGAAGGCGCCGTTTACGCGATATACGTTAAGTATGCAGTTCTGCTCTTTTTGATAGGCACTATAGAAAGTTGACCTATCTTGAAAATGACTACTCCAAAAGCTTAATTGTCACATTTTTGTTAGATACTTAGACTGTTCCCTATGATCAATACACAGGCGCATGATATCGGCAACATATGATTAATCACTATTAAAGTATTACAATAGTTTCATGAGATTATTGTAATGGAATCTTGAAGTTTCAATATGTTTTATATAGTTATGTTTAGTCCCAGAAACAGGTATTGTTCCTTCATAGCTAGGACTAGTATTTATTAATAAACCTAAGTCAATCAACCTCTATTAGTGCTTCCAATTAATAATACTTTGGAGATCCAATTTCATTTTGAGTACATCAATTGATGGTGCTAGTATTATGTACTCTGGACGATGATTCAAATAATCTTAGTACCAATCGATGCGAGAAATGGAACTCTAGACGTGGACGATTTGATCCGTCTTAGAACTTTCTTTGAATGTCCTCTCAAATGATCGGTCCCAGATCAAAAGAAGCGATTAGGCACAGTTAGACTAAAACAATTGTTCAGTATACAACAATCCAGTATGAAATCATCTCGTAGCCTACAGTAGGACGACTGGAATAGTTTAGGCGTTACAAGTTAGCCTTTAGGTCAGTGAGACCTTTCACCATTTTGGTCCCACGTCTTTGAACTCGTTTTGACGTATCAGCTTCATACTAGTCCGGGAACCATTGTGTGGACCCTATGTCCTACATTCAGCCTCAAAAACATCGTGTATAACTTCCTAAACATTTCTCTATCTAAGTAATAAAATGGCTTACGAATAGTCGGTCAGATGCTGAAGCAGTTAATGGTAGCAGTTTTACGTACGAAGTTTTACGTTGTGACTGACTGACATTTATTTGTAGTTACAAGATTGCTGCCAAATTTTCAGTCTGTCGGCAGTGTACACACAGATCTCCATTTCACCTCTATGCATTCTGGAGGGAGTTAGTCAACGGACTGTCAATACCCTTAGCCGCATCACGGCATTTGTAGGCATCCTCAGTATTGTTCGTACCTACTGTATATCCGTGTGAGTTATGTAAAAATGAGAACATTTCTCCGTTTATCGCTAGATAAATTATATTTGCTCAACCATGCATCAAACCCACCTCCCCTCATTAGAAATTCACTTGACCTTACTCGTTCTAAACATTTTGATAGTAATTTTCTTCACTAGATATCTAATTGCATTTACACATTTTACTCTTTCGAACTCTAACTGTAAGTAGCAGTTATTTTCGAACGATCTAACACCAATTGTGGGTGTTTCAATGAAAAAACTTGTTGATATTGGTGCTAACCTAACTGACAAAGTTTTCACGGGCGTATATCGTGACGTAATCAAGCATAAAAACGATTATCACAATGTGTTATGTCGGGCAAGAAAATATGGTGTGGAAAAAATTGTTATAACTGGAGGTTAGATTAGTTGACACTTTGGATCAATTCAATCTAGGGTCGCTTACTGATAGTGCTGAGGCTATATCACTATGTGAATCTGATAAAGATCTCTTTTGTACAGTTGGATGTCATCCTACAAGATGCTTGGAGTTTAATGCGGATCCTGAGAACTATCTAAATAAACTGAAAAACCTAATTTTGACAACGAAAAAGGTAGTAGCCGTAGGTGAATGTGGTCTGGATTATGATCGGTAGTTACACATGTATTTTTATTTCAATTTACAGTGAAGAGTTTTGTCCAAAAGATATTCAAAAAGAATATTTTGATATTCAACTTAAATTGGCTAGTGATGTTCAACTACCATTGTTTTTACATTGTCGAGCTGCACATGATGATTTCTTAAAAATGATTGAAAATGCTAAGCATTATTATTTTCAAGACAAACTTTTTCGTGGTGTTGTACATTCATTTGATGGAACGGACAACATGGTTAAATGTTTCACCGATATGGGATTGTATATTGGCATCAATGGTTGCAGTTTGAAGAACCAAAGTAATTTGGAAGTAAGATGTTAAAATAGGTATTTTATAGAGCGTTATTCGTTTGCCATTAATAGACATGTACAAATATTTACTTACTTGCTTGAGATTAGATTGTCTACTGTTCACTGTGACTAACTAAATTATCAGTCTCAATTAAACTGTTGTTTTATTAAACCATTCTGGCAGTTTTAATTTTAGTCTGTTCGTAGTAGATGAGAAGGCCACAAAATAAAATAATCGCACTTATGCTGACATTTAACTACATTATTATTTTCCAATCTTAGTATTTAATGGATGTAAGCCTAATTGCAACCACGAGTCAAACGCAGTTAGTAATTAGTAAAAAAAACTGGATAATTGGCACTTTTTAACTGCGAAATCGGATAATTCTAAGACAAACTAAATAGTCTTAATATTGTGCTCTGCCGAAGAAAGACTGACAAGACAAGAGTCCCTTATTCTTTACTGACATTGCAGTGGATGTATAGACCACATCTTCACACTACGAAAGGCGCTGACGAAATGCTGTCTTCTGACTACCATAAGCAACAATGCGAGCATATTCGGGATGCCGTTTTCCCCCTCGAAATGCAAAATTTTGCTTTAAGATTGGGTTGCATCGGCACCTGAAATAGTGATAGGGAGTGAACTAGTCGAGCGCGTTGATCACTCCACTTATCTGGGGAGTCTCATCAGCGCTGATAGCCTGGTGACTGACGAAATCTCAGCTCCCATACAGAAGGCTCGATTGGCTTTTGCCAACCTGCGTCACTTATGGATATCCATGATATCCATTCGCTAACCAAAGGACGAGTCTACTGCGCAGTAGTTCGCTCCGTTCTCCTATATGGCTGCGAAAAATGGCCTTTAAGAATAGATGTTCGTAGGTTACTAGTATTTGATCATCGATGTCTCCGAAGCATTGCTCGTATATCCTGGGACAACCAAGTAAGCAATGCTGTTGTCAGGAAACGAGTACTGGGTAAGTATGGCAAATCAATTGACGAAGTACAGAAAATTATCACTTGAGGTGGTTGGGACATATGTTACGAATGCCCAACCACCGACTGTCTCGAAGAACCATCTTTTACAGTGTAGGAGTAGGCTGGACAAAAGCTAGGAGCGGCCAAACCAAAACATGTCAGAAATCCATGAAGTCACTGACAAGTAGAGTGAGGTTAGGGTCCGCGAGACGAAAGTCACCAATGGTTAGAGACCTTGAACGACATGGCTCAGAATCGTTTACAATGGCGCAGGTGCATCCACTCTTTGTGTTCTATGAAATTCTAACCTTCTGAACTCCTCATCATCTCTAGCTCTTTCTTTCTAAATTTGTCTCACTGAAATTATACTTCCCAAATCATATCTTCGCTCCATAATCTTCTCCATTACTGCTAATACCTCTACTATCGCTATCACTCTTGGATTTGAATTGACAGTTGCATCGCTGTGCTGATGTGGTATGGCAAGCTGAACTGATGTACTTACGTACGAAGTTCTGCGTTGTATCTGTCTGTTCCAGTTGGTAAGATCGAAAACTATTGTGAGCGACCTCCCGACTTCATATTTATTTTGTTCTGATGAATTGAATCGTAACCTAAGTGCTATTCTATATTTGTACCTGTGAGGAGTGTAAGTCACAAGAAAAATACTGGCAAAACCGACTGTTTGGCAAAAACAGTAACACTATCCATAGTGACATTAATTGTACTCAAATATATTTCAAATTTATTCTCTTTACAGGTTGTGCGGAAAATCCCACTTGATCGACTACTATTAGAAACAGACGCTCCATGGTGTGATATTAGACGAACTCACGCAGGTAACGAGAAAAAACAAACTGATCTAATTTGTGTTTTCGCTTCTAGGATATCCATTTGTCAAGACACATTTCACTTATCGCAAACATAATTCATGGGATGAATCCTACATGATTAAAGGACGTAATGAACCTGCTAATCTTGTCCAAGTACTCGAGGTTGTTGCTGCTGTAAAAGGAATAAGTGAAGAGGAACTAGCCAAAACAACATATCAAAATTCCATTGATCTATTTTCGTTACCAATAGAAAGTTTTTTTTAAAAAAAAAATCAATTTTGATAGAGACCAGTATTTTTAGTTTTGCACTAAACATCACTCTACGTTTTCTGGTCATTGAACATGAAAGAAAGTTGTGTTAATTGTAAACCTAGTAAGTACCTAGGTTTTTGTGAAAATATGTTAGAGCAAACCGATAGAATTAGCTTTGAAAAAAAATCAAACTATATATGGCTTATTCGGTACAACAAAAAAAACCAATATCAATAAAGAATAAGTCGTTCAAAGTTATCTTGAATAGGTGTTAGTGGGACATAGATGGAATTAAAGCATGACTACGTTGCTGCGCACTGATTGGCTAATTTCCTATCCAATCAGCGCCTGATCGAATCTTGGAGAACAGGGTAGAAAATTCTCGTACTGTTAGCTGCATGCTGATTGGTTAAATCTAATCCATTCGATCACGTGAATTACTACTATCCAGAAGCTTCTCGTGTAAATGCTATAAATAAACTAACGTTGTATCTATTTTTGCCTTCTTCGCCTTCGCCATCGCCTTTGGGCTTCTTATTTCCATTTAACCTTGCTATTTTGGAATATAAATCTTTTCCTGTTCAACCGTGTTTTTTCGATTCTTGGGAACTTGTCCAGTAGTGTATTGTGTGTGGTCAGAGAATACACTAAGCAAATAGGATTTAGCTAGAAAATATTTTGGCATACCATTACAACAATAGGTGTCAAAAAATGGTACACAGATTTAACAATAAGTGTTACTTTTCTAATCCTATATTTATTCACGTTTTTATAAATACGAGACAAGAAAATCTATTATTAAGAGTAACTGAATTTTGAAATCATGACCCATGATGCTCATTGCATTCTGTTTCCCAAAATTTTTATTGTTGTTTACTTATTCCCTTTATCTTTAAGTCATTTTGTTACTTCATCCTTTGAAATTGTTCACATTCGAATATGTTTGACTAGTATACGTTGTATCACATTATATGGTGGTTACCTTCAAATAGTTCCTATTCATATCTACTCGTAACAGCACTAAAATCTCTCATCCTATAATTGTGTTCTTAACTTTTATTATCTCATAAACTGTATTATATTTAGTCGGTCGAAAATTTTTATTTATCACTAATCGGTTTTTATATTATTACGTATGCCTAACCACCGACTGCCTCGACGAGCTATGTTTTGTGGCGTAGGAGTAGGTTGGAAGAAAGTTAGGGGCGGCCAGACCAAAACATGGCAGAAATCCATGAAGTCTCTGACAGGTGGACTGAGTCATGTTGGTAGATGTAGACTACCTGGTTGGGGTCCGCGAGACGAAAGTCACCAATGGTTAGAGACCTTGAACGACATGGCTCAAAATCGTTTGCAATGGCGCAGGTGCATCCACTCTTTGAGCTCTCTCAAATCCTAATCTTCTGGATTCTTCAGCACCTCTACCTTTGTCTTTCTAACCTTATCTCACTGAACTATATTTTTGGAATAATATCTTCAAACCCTAGTCTTCTTTATTATAACATTAATACCTCTACTATCTTTATCACTATGGGATTTGATTTGACATTTGCGTCTATGTGCTAATAATGTGGTATGGCAACATGAACTTATGTACATACGTACGAAGTTCTACGTTGCAACTGACTGACTGAGATGAAGTATTGAAACTTAATCAGTTGAGGTGGTTGGGACATGTGCTGCGTATGCCCAACCACCGACTGCTTCGACGAGCTTTGTTTTGTAGTGTAGGGATAGGTTGGACGAAAGCTAGGTGCGGCCAAACTAAAACATGGCACAAATCCATGAAGTCATTGACAAGTGGACTGAGCCATGTCGGTAGGTGTCGACTACCTGGTTGGGGTATGCGAGATGATAGTAATCGATAGTTAGAGACCTTGAATGACGGCTCAAAACCGTTCGTCATGGCGCAGGTGCATCTACTCTTTGTGTTCTCTCAAATTCTAACCTTCTGAATTCCTCATCTTTATCTTTTTAAGTTTCACTGGATTCTACTTCTTGAAAAATGTCCTTGAACCCTAATCTCTCCGACTACTGCCAAAACTTCTACTAACTTCACTACTATGTGATTTTAAGTGACGATTGCGTCTCTGTGTTAATGTGGAATGGTAACCCTGATCTTATGTACGTACGTACGAAGTTCCACGTTGTAACTGACTAACTATGTTCAGAACTTGTCTTAAATATACTTCAGAAAACATTTGTTGGATTGAAGCTTCAAAGTCCGCTCGACACGGTGTTTTCATATTGAAATAACGGATTATTATAGCCATCTAATATTTTGAAGCAGTTTTGATGTTTCCATTGAATATAAAGAAGTATAAGGTATGATCAGTCAATTGAAACTTCCGTAGAGAGAATAAGCTGATATGTATATACTTGAGAATTGTGAACCTAATTTGTAGCAAGCGGAACTAGATTGTCAGTTATTGAGCTGCGGATCAGGACCTCGTTTCATCTCGAACAACAAAATGCAATCTGATAGTTGACTACGAGAAAATATGAACTTAAGTAATGTTTATGGGGAATAAAATATTGTTGGCAAGCCTTTAATTTTTTCATTAGTAAAGCATTAAGCCCGAAAATAAGCATTTAGTTTAAAAACTGGGGAATTGCCACATGAACTTATTTTTATGGTTTAAACTGATTTCAGTCTCAACATGTATAAAGGTAAGAGCAAGATTCTGCGATACAAAACAACATGCGTTAACCAAATCACTCTTGATGGACACGCTTTGCAGGACGTTAAAACCTTTACATACCTAGGCAGCATCATTGACGAGCAAGGTGGATCCGATGCAGATGTAAAGGCACGGATTGGAAAAATAAGGGCTGCATTTGTACAAACAACTGTCAAAAAACACCAAAATCAGAATTTTTAATACAAATGTCCAGACAGATCTACTGTATGGAGCGGAAACTTGGAGAACTGCCAAAACCATCATCAAGAAGATACAGTTATTCATAAAACAGTTGTTTACGCAAAATACTTCAGATCCGTTGGCCAGACACCAGTAACAACCTACTGGTGGAAGTGGATAGGACATACATGCGGAAAGTAGCCAACTGCATCACAAGACAAGCCCTCACTTGGAACCCTTCAGGTCAGAGGAAGGAACACATTACTTCGAGAAATAGAGAAAGATATGCGAAGAATGGACGAAAATTGGGAAGAGAAGCCCAGGACAGAATAGGTTAGAGAACACTGGTCGACAGCCTATGCTCCATCGGGGGTAACAGGCGTAAGTAACTGACTTTGTCATTGTGCACAGAAATCACGTCTTCAACATAGCATACAATTTCAACGGACACAAACGAATACAGCTCGACTGAATATTTGGAAGATACTAAGCTACTACTGTTTAACAGTAAAAACAAAAGTAACAATTGTCATGATTATGAAAATTTATAAATTATTGTTATCTAAAATTGTTTACAACTGGAATCTTAGTGTACAGTAATGTCATAAATTATCACTCACTACCTCCTGAAGACCTGTTTTTCTGTAAAATAGATGGAAACCATGAAGGTCTAGAACCGGACACTTTAACTTCCTCATCATTGGGAGTAGCTGCATGAGTGCTACTGTTATCGCCATCATAAACAAATCGTACTTCACGATCACTTGGGAGTTTACCATTGACAAGAGAACGTAAAAAATTAGTTTCCTCACGTACTTTACTGTAACAATTGGCTAGAAAGGTAAGAACAAACATGCAAATGTAGTTTTTTTTTTCAAGTTTTCTGTAGAAATCTTAAATTAGCAGAAAACTAACTTGAATGTAAATAAATATCTGGTGTTATACACCGTATGAAACAAGTCGATATACATTTTATTATATGTACTAATTAAATTGCTTTGTCTTAGTTCAGTATTCTTTCAGATGCTGTACAAAAGGACAGTGAAAGCTTTATAATTTAACAATCCGGCCTCGGTAAACAAAGCTTCATCTTTAATGCATTGAAAAGTATTAGGTGGAATTCATGCATTATGGTCTTATTGTTTTCAATAATTAGTGAGATTGAGTGGTAGAACACTGCATTGTTCTTCTTGGAATAACTTCTGGAAACTTAATCGCTAACACGTGACTGCATTTGATCAGGTGCACAGAGCAGCTAATGTTGTTGTATGGTAACATGAACTAATATATACGTACTCACGAATTTCGACTTTGTAGCTGCCTGGTATGGGTGCACAAAGGAAACGGTTATCTAAAAAGCTAATAAAAGTCATAAGTACACTGATTTTATTTATGTCAACACGTAAGTTATGTGTGATTAGCAGTTTGTCGAAATCAATGGATGCCTGCTTTTATGTGAAAAGGCTAGTCACAATACTAAGGCAGTTTAAAGAACAATTCATTTAGTCTCCGAAATATTGGATATTAAAAAAGCAGACAGGTATGAAAGTTGGTTAGGATGAATAATATTTTTTATGATACACCAAATGGCTTCAGATCCGTAGTTGACAACTTCACACATAAATATATTTTGAAAACACATTAACTTAGATTAAATCAAGTAACTAGTGGCCGACCCGACCTTGACGTGGTGGTCGGGCATGCCTTTGATGATGACCCTACTGAGGTATATTGACTGGAACATGTTCCTTCAGGTCCTACCAAGTCGATTGAAGAACAGTAAGACTAAAAGCAGCTACTTGTTGTCTGAGGGCGAAGTCGTACTGCTGACTGCAGAGGGGTGACAGCAGTAATGGGTTTCCCTTGGACAACCAGCATCTGCAGTAATGCTGCCTTCTCACAAAGAAGGAAGGGGTTTGAGAAGGTCGACCCTGAAAATGTCACACCTCACCATACCTCACGGACTTTCGTCTCCAGCGGTAAGGGCTTTGAAACAAGAGCGGAGCTAATACTTCCAAAACATCTCATAAAACAGCCCTGTGTGACCGGCCTGAAGCAGCTGTTTCTTGGGCTCTCCGCTCACGCTCCCAGGTCTCTAAGACTCACGCTAACCCTTCTTTTTCAGGTGCCTTAAGAAGCGCCCTCCCACCGTGCGGGCAGCCGGGAAGTGACAACCGCCCTCATACCCGTAACAACACACTAGACCAAATTGATCACAATCAAATCCTTCCTACACCCCCGGAACTCTCTCTTTTCTCGTCGACTAACCCTTCTCACATCATCCCGCACCAATAATGCAAACAATTCAAGTGCACGAGACGTTATTCCTGGTCTCCTGAAACCCCGTTCTAGACTACGTGTTGGAGCTTTTAATGTACGGACATTGTGTCAAATAGGGCAACAGGCTTCCTTAGCTAGGACATTAGAATCTCGCTCGATCGGTGTGTGCTGCGTCTCGGAAACGCGCATACAGGATCCTGCTAAAATTATTAATCTGATTTCATCTTGTCAAAATAAAGAAGCAACTCTTCGTGTATCTGGAAGCCCTGATGCTGCTTCCAGGGGTCTTGCCGGCGTAGGCATAGCATTGAGTCGCAGAGCTTAACAATCTCTCCTAGACTGGATCCCAGTAGATAGTCGCTTGTGCGCTGTCCGACTAAACGGGACAGTAAGGACTCGGAAAGATAAGGACACTCGCCGTTGCCTCTTCGTCGTATCTGCCTATGCACCCACTGACTGCAGTTAAGACGAGGTTAAAGATGAGTTTTACCGAAAGCTTTCGGACCTCCTCCAAAAAGCTAGGCGCTCTGATATGGTATTAATGGCTGGTGACTTTAATGCTCAAATAGGTAGACTAAGTCAAAATGAAAGACACCTAGGGGGATGTTATGGTGTTGCAGCTCAGAGAACAGATAATGGTGACCGTCTGTTGCAACTGTGCTCAGACAACCGCCTATTTCTAGCAAACACTAATTTTAAGCATAAGGAAAAACATCTTTTGACCTGGCGACCCCCGAAGTCGTCTCAACGTTGGACCCAACTAGATCACATTGCCATCAGCCACCGATGGAGGGGTTCGATAGAAGACTGTCGCTCGTTCTGGAGCACATGTTTAGATTCAGATCATGCCTTAGTGCGCGCGCGTATTTGTTTGAAGCTTACTGGGCGTAGGAAAGACACCGTAAAAAGCCTCTTAGGGTTTTACTTAATCATAATACGGCGAAGAATATATTTCAGGAACAACTAGAAAGACAGTTAGGCGGCCATGTAGTAAGTAATTTCCATCCGGAGGCAGCTTGGAATGATATCCAAAAAGCAATGATATCTGCTAATAAGGTAACCCATAAGGCTAGGAAGAAGCCATGGATCTCAGCGGCATCCATCGAACTGATAGACACTCGTAAACTCATCTCACCTGGCTCTGAAGATGACGAAGAGCGAAGTCCGCTTAGGCAGAGGCTGACAAAAAGCCTTCGCAATGATGGCGAACAGTGGTGGGTAGAGAAGACAAGAGTAATTGAACAAGCAGCGGCAATAAGCAACAGTAGACAACTTTTCCGCCTTATCAAGGAAACCGGTATTAGAAACCAATCTGTTAACGAAACTATCAGAGAAAAGGATGGGCTAATGATTCATTTCCAATCTCCCTAACTCTATGAAGTTGTAAAAGCTATAGGAAATCTGAAGCGAGGGAGAGCAGCGGGTCCCCCGAAACTTTCAAGGATGGTGGTCTAGTTTTAGCAGTTAGACTGACCGAGATCTTAGGTAGAATCTGGGAACTGGGCGTAATCCGATCTGACTGGTTCCAATCACCAACTGTCCCAATTTATAAGAAAGGACAAAAGTCCTCTTGTGACAATCACAGAGGAATCAGTTTAACTAATACAGTATGTAACATATTGGCCTCAATAATTCTTGGACGCCTGACTAGAGCTCGTGGAGAGCGGACTGGGGAAAACCAAAATGGTTTCAGACTTGGACATGGATGTATAGACCAAATATTCACACTATGTGAGGTCCTAGAAAATAGACACTCGTTCCGATGCCCCACAATAGTCGTATTTCTCGACCTTAAAGCGGCCTTCGACTCTGCTGGTCGTGAGGTTCTGTGGCAGTATCTATCATTGAAAGGTGTACCAAAGAAGTACATTAACCTTATACAGGCTCTTTACTCAAACACCTTTGGTCGAGTGAGAACTTATGGCGAACTGTCATCGGAATTGTTTACTTCAAGTGATGTCCGTCAGGGCTGTCCACTCTCTCCATTCTTGTTTAACTTTGTCGTAGATATGCTTTTAGAGTTAACATTATCTTCGTCTGACTTTTCAGGAGTGAACCTTTTACCAGGATTCACGCTTGCTGACTTAGAATATGCTGATGACATAGTCCTATTCGGTGAAGACGCTGACGAAATGAAGTCTTCTGACTACCCAAAGCAACAATGCAAGCATGTTCGGGATGCAGTTCTCCTCCTCGAAATGTAAAATGTTGCTTCAAGATTGGGTTGCATCGGCACCTGAAATAGTGATGGGGAGTGAAGTAGTCGAGCGTGTAGACCACTTCACTTATCTGGGGAGTCTCGTCAGCGCTGATAGCCTGGTGACTGACGAAATCTTAGCTCCCACACAGAAGGCTCAATTGGCTTTTGCCAACCTGCGTCACTTATGGCGTAGGCGTGATATCCATTCGCTAACCAAAGGACGAGTCTACTGCGCAGTAGTTCGCTCCGTTCTCCTATATGGCTGCGAAAAATGGCCTTTAAGAATAGATGTTCGTAAGTTACTAGTATTTGATCATCGATGTCTCCGAAGCATTGCTCGTATATCCTGCGACAACCAAGTAGGCAATGCTGTTGTTAGGAAACGAGTACTGAGTAAGTATGGCAAATCAATTGACGAAGTACATAAAATTATCAGTTAAGGTGGTTGGGACATGTGCTGCATATGCCCAACCACCGACTGCTTCGACGAGCTTTGTTTTGTAGTGTAGGGATAGGTTGGACGAAAGCTAGGGGCGGCCAAACCAAAACATGGCACAAATCCATGAAGTCATTGACAAGTGGACTGAGCCATGTCGGTAGGTGTCGACTACCTGGTTGGGGTATGCGAGATGATAGTAATCGATAGTTAGAGACCTTGAATGACGGCTCAAAACCGTTCGTAATAGCGCAAGCGCATCTACTCTTTCTGTTCTCTCAAATTCTAACCCTCTGGATTCCATATCACCTCTATCTCACAGACTGACATTTTCAAGGCGTATTGATCTGTTAATTAAAATACTCTAAAATGTCTTGAAGCAGTTCGATGTTTCACAACCAAAAACTAATCTACTGGACTTATCAGACTACAGATCTGAGTTATAGCACTAATAAGTCACAATTTGACGTGTACAACAATTGAGAAGAAGTTTATTGCACAATGATAATTCTATCTTGTTTGTTGATTTGTAATGAACCGTGTTGAGGGGAAAAATACGGATGATAACAGCTTGAACTAATCGATTTTCATGTCTCAACAATAAAATACCGTTCATATCAAAATTAGAAAATAATTAGGAATAAGCAGTTTTACAACTGCAGACGTGTGACAAAATGTCCGAGTGACGTTAAGTTTTACTGAGTATCAAAACCTTGTTTTTGAAACAATTAACTAGTAATTTAACATACAACTTACTGCATATGAAGTTTCGAGGGTTTAGGTAGCCACAAAATTTACAAGGTGTCAAGTCGTCTCTAGGCTTGTATTCGTCCGATTTTACTACAAATGTCAGCAGTCACTTCAATATAAACCTACATGAAAGGAATTTTCGTATGCGCCGTTGTTCTATGGTTCTACGTTTCTTGGGCACTGCAAAATAAATTGAGTCGATCCATGATGTTAGTGTTCCCAAAAACGGTGCGGGGTATAACATTGCCGTTTCGGTAACGAACACTACGGGCTGGACTAAATGTACTATATGATGACTAAGAAACTTACCTCTACCAAAGAAATCTAAGAAGATAGATTTCAAAGCACGGCATATCAGTGCCATGACCTTGAGCGTCAATTAAGCGCCTAAACACCAAAGACGGAATCCAATATCTTTTTCATGAGCTGGAGTAAACCAATTTGATTTCTTCGCGCTCGATTCTTGTTCTTTCGGTACGGTTACGGGTGTTCGGTAGTGTCCAACGAATGAGAGTCTAGCCACTCGACTGTCTGATTCTAGTCAGCTGGCAGTTGGTTGTGAGTTCGTGTCTCGGGATTTGAATGAAAACGTTTTATTTCAGGGCACTAGGGATTCTGGATACTGGCAGCTATCACATTATCAAACTGGAGATCATTTAGTTGCAATGTGGAGAGTAATAAGGGTAATAAGTGTAAGATTCTAATGCTAATATGAGTAAAATTTCAGAACTGAGTATTATATAGATGAATTTAGTTTGTTAATTGGTAGTGAAAATTGTGAGAGGACCGAAGTATAAGCAAAGTAGAGGAAACAGAGATAATAGGCGATATAGATAAATTGAGTGATCTGATGTTATGGCAATGATCACAACTAGCAGGTCTCAAGATATGCATCATGAACAGCTTGTCCAAGAGGGAGATGATAGTCCGTATGTTAGTACGTGATTATCAAGTCTCTTCTCTATTGTAGAATCTTTTTTGAATGTTTTGTTTCTTGGAAAGTCCCTCCATGTATATATATATTTGTGTTATGATATGTCTGACTCTTTCTGTTGACATTTTGGTATTTTATTTGATTCCATTTTGAGCTTTTATCATTGAATATTGTTATTATTTCTATATCTTGTACTTTTATTGAAGTTTTTATGTTTGCTTCTGAACTGGACATATGTTGTTTAAATTTGATATTTAATATGGCTACAGCCATATTTGGATTTGATACATCGACTGTATGGAATGGAAGCAGTTATTCTTCCAGAAACCGATACCCACCGCGGTAAATTGGATTTAGAAGGTGTAATATTGTTGGGTGATTGTCTGTATTTCCATTTTATATTAAATAATGACCGTTTTCTCCCAGAATTATTGTGTTTTGGTATCGGATCTGGGACAGCGCGTATCAACCTGCACCTATTGGTAACGGAGCGAACAGCTGGGGTAGAAAATTCATTTATAGTCCAACAATAATTAAGAAAAAAGAAACTTTTGGAATTTTCATCGTTTACAATCTCAAACTTCCTGGAAGAAGAACTTTTGGATTACTTATCTTTAGCTTTGTTCAAACTGTATTTTGGATAACGATCTTTTGATCTTTTTGGATTTTTCATTGACGAAGATTTACCGGTGAAAATTTTATATTTTGTCTTTGTCACTTCCTTTCCGTTGAATTCCAACTGATTATGAGTTTTCAAAAGAAATCAAACACGAAGAGGGTTGAAGCCCATGAAGAATCCCGGAACGCAAGGCAAGTTGTTTATGATACTTCACGTTTAATGGGTTCACTCTCTACTAAGGATGATATTATGCTTGGTACTTATTGTTGTAAGTCACCATTGGAAAGTACTAAGAAACAAGGTTTGGACGAGAACTTTAAGTGCCTGGGAAAGATTTGATGTCTAGGACACCGGTACTTGGCTTAGAATTGCCAAAGTTTGAACTCCTCTTCCTCGATGGTAAACAGCGTGATTACTTTGGATTTATAAAGCAATTTGAAACGTTTATAGAACCTAGAGTTATGGATGATAATCTGCGTTTATTGTATTTAATTCATTACTGTAAGGGAAAGGCGAGAAATGCGATTGAAGGATGCCTTATAATGGAACCCCACATGGGATATAAAACAGCTAAGACAATTCTAAAGCAGCTCTTCGGACTATCGCATGTAATAGCTCGTGAAACTCTGAATGACTTGTTTACATCTGGCAATGCGGATTACAATGACCCAAAACAATTGTCGGATTTAGCAATTAAGATGCAAAACGTTGCTCTAACTATTACTTACATACTTACGCCTGTTACCCCCAATGGAGCATAGACCGCCCACCAGTTTTCTCCAGCCAACTCTGTCCTGGGCTTCTCTCTCCAGTTCTGTCCAATGTTTGTTCATTCCTCTCATATCTTTCGCTATTTCTCGGCTTAATCTGTTTCTAGGCCTTCCTCTTTTCCTCTTGCATTGTCTTGGCTTGTCTCGTGACTCAGTTAGGTGCTTTCCGCAATGTGTGTACTATCCACTTCCACCGCTTCTTCCTGATTTCCTCATCCACTGGAATCTGGTTTGTTCTCTCCCACAGTTCGTTGTTGCTGATGGTGTCTGACCAACGAATACGAAGTATTTTGCGTAAACAGCTGTTAATAAACACTTGTATCTTATGGATGATGGCTTTCGTAGTTCTCCATGTTTCCGCTCCATACATTAGAACTGTCTTCACATTTGTATTGAAAATCCAGAATTTGGTTTTGGTTGAAAGCTGTTTGGAGTTCCAGATATATTCCAACTGTAGAAATGCAGCCCTTGCTTTGCCAATCCATGCCCTCACATCTGCATCGGATCCACCATGGTTGTCGATGATGCTGCCAAGATATGTAAAGGTGTTGACGTCCTCCAAGACATCTCCATCAAGAGTGATTTGGTTTGTGCATGTTGTGCTGCATCGGAGAATTTTGCTTTTTCCTTTATGTATGTTGAGACCTACTGCTGCAGAGGCTGCTGCTACACTGGTCGTCTTCTCTTGCATTTGTTGTTGCATGTGAGATAGAAGAGGCAGGTCATCTGCGAAGTCCAGATCGTCCAGCTGCGTCCTAACTGTCCAGTTGATACCGTGCTTCCCTCCAGATGTTGACGTCTTCATAATCCAGTCGATTGATGGCCAAGAGAAAGAGAAAGGGTGAGAGAAAGCAACCTTGCCTCACACCGGTCTTCACCTCGAAAGAGTTTGTTAGCTGACCATCGTGTACGATTTTGCAGTTGAATCCATCATAAGAATTCCGTATGATGTTAACTATCTACTCAGGCACACCGTAGTGTCGAAGAAGCCTCCACAGTGTTTTCCTATCCACGCTATCAAATGCTTTCTCGTATTCGATGAAGTTGATGTAGAGTGGTGAGTTCCATTCAATTGATTGTTCCACAATGATCCGAAATGTAGCAATTTGGTCAGTACATGATCGATCCTTACGAAATCCGGCCTGTTGATCTCGAAGTTGGGCGTCTACGAAATCCTTCATTCTGTTTAACAATACTCTGTTGAAGACTTTGCCTGGTATTGAAAGAAGAGTGATGCATCTGTATTGCTCTAACTATGGAACAATTAAATTGTATTGCGGAACTAAATTTCTTAGTAACTTTAGAGCGAATAGTTAGGTTCTTACCTCATCGAATGCAAGTCCAGTGGGCAGAGCTGGGAATTAAATGGGACGAAGAGGAAAGAGAGCCTACTTTCAATGAATTGACTGACTTTATTATGTCTCGTGCTAGTATAGCTAGTAGTAGATTCGGAAGATTAGCTAATCGCGCGAAAACAGGACATGAAGCGGAAGCTATTAGTCATCTGCGTGCGAGACATGAAAATTCTTCAAATGCGTTTGCACCTACCTCACACCCGGAACTTACGAGAGTCGCTAATTGTATTAGAAAGGTATATCCTTTTGAAGCCCGAGCATGTGACCCTGATGGTTTAAAACCCCTTGATGTGTATCCTAGTGAGAAGTCGGTATGTGTAGCAGACAAGATGGGTTTTTTGAGTATGGAAAAGAAAGAAAAAGGTAGAAAGGGTAAGCATCAATACGGATCCGAGGTGTGTGATGATAGAAGCTTCTTAACTGCTCGAAATGCAAGGAACGGTAATTTGGATTCGAGCAAACAGAGGTTAATGAGTACAGTGAATATGAATAAGGACAAAACAGGTTTGGCTGTATGGAATAAAGCTTATGTTCGGAACCCTTCACGTAGGGTAAATTATTTAACACGACCTAGAGTTGATCCTAGGTCAACATGCGTAAATAGTGACACAGCACCTCATGTTGCTGAGCAATCAGGATGTCTGCGGGCTACTGTATCTAGTTCTACGGAGCATCATGATATTGAAGCGGAAGATAATAGCAGCTTAGCGCTTCATGCTGATGTTTGTTTACAGTCAACGTATGGACGGTCGTGTACTAGTCCAAGTAGTCATAGCAACATTGATAGTGTTAGTGTAAGTGTCTGCAGTGGTAGCTTAGCTTTAAAGCCTGCATGCCAACTATCTCGCAACTCGTCATTCACTGTGAATAGTCGGAACATCATTGTGGACAACAATAACGTCAAGGTGATGGTGAAACCCGATGTATCTCTTAATAGCGTAGTGGATGTAAATAATAAACGTGATGGTAACGATAGTGCAATCACTATAGGTAGTGCTGTTTCGTCGGTTGATGTTGCTAATGTAGCTTTTTTGAGTACTTCGGATCAAGACGAAATTGGATGTTCGAACGTGGAGAATGTAGGCGTCGGTGGCAATAGCTTTATCCACAGTGATGGCAGTACTGTGAGGGCTAACATTCGGTACCCTAAGTGCAATGAGGAGTCATCTAGGTTTGATGGACATGCTGTTGTGTTGAATATGCAGCATGAGGAATCAAGCATGGAATTTCCCACCTGTCGCACTCTACCATCATTGACTTGTACTACAAGCTTCGGGATGAGCACTACCAACAGTGCTAAGATAGAACTGGTTAAGAGCATTCCTAGTAAGGAAAGTAATGTTGATCGAGTAGAGTTGGACACTGTAGATGAGTCCAATATATGTCATGAGAAGTGTACAGCTGCGGCTACTAATGATAATAGGATTGATGATACTCCTGCGAGTAATAGTGATCGATGGAAGTTGAAAGAAACTCATCGTCGTCGAAATGATCGTACGTTACGCTCACATACTGCTACCCAAGCTAAGAAGCATAAGAAACAACATGATGCTACTATTATTAAAAAGCGTGAACTTCGTTCTCTTTCGGATGCTATGACTAGCAATGGAAATAGTAGTCATCAGAATCTTAATAGTGACAGCGATAGTAAACAGACAGAAAGTCTGAGCTGACCACCTATAGTGACTGGTCGATCAACTTCATCGAACAAGCCTTCTAGTGATTTGACGTCATCGGACCCTGCCGCGAATGCTAAGTTGAT